GACAGATCTGTAAAGAGAACAGTTTTTCTCAATATCACTGTAAGAAATGACATTAAAATCAGAGAATTAAAACAAGATTAAGATTGCAGTTAAAATATCAGAGAGAGTATCTTAAATAACCCTCATATCAAATTGTCAAAGGCAAATAGAGACAGTATCTCAATGGCCTACAAGGCTATCTATTATCCTGGGATCACGATTAAAACTACTATTTGTACTTTAAGATAAATCTACTGATAAAAACTTTATCATCTGAAGTTGGTTATTATATGTATTCAAAATTCCATTTCCTAGTGATAACAGAAGAATAAAACAAAGATTTATTTCCTATTTCTTCTTTTACATATCACAACAAATTATATATTAAATATAAGTGATATATCATAGTCAACTCTCTAAAAGCTGTCAGTATGCTTTACAGATAACCTCTAATCTCAGATTCTACCTATATATCTGGAATGAAAAGATTATAGTTCTTCAAGTCATTTACAGACAGGAATAGGACCATTCTTTAAAGTCAGAAAGAGAAAGATCATCTACATCAATCATTACAATTTGGAGACATCAGTTAATCCTCCAATCTCGAGCTATATTTGCACTATTACATGCTATTGCAAGCTATAGTTTTGCATAAAATCAAGAGGTAATATAAGCCAAAAGTGCAAATTCCCAATACCAAGACTGTAACTGCCACACACTTGCACTGTACCTGCTGGATACAGACAGAACCAAGAAAACTGGCTCAGTCCCATCATGTAAAAAAGTTGAAAAATATTATTTACTACAGATATTGCAGCAACTAGGTGACGTAAATACACTCCAAAAATCTGTAAGCATTGAGGACTGAATGGACAAGTCCTACAAAATTTATATTACGTTATACTAAATGTTAAAATAAGAGTTTCAGGTGCAAAAGCAAAGAAGCAAAATGCAAACGCCATGGGAAAAAATAGTGCACTAAAAAAGTAAGAATAAAATAAGTTTTATATGGTGAGTTTATGACACGTTTATGATAAATTCTGCTATATTATTGAGCTTAAGCCTACCTAAATTATAAAGGAAGGGGAAAAGAGTGCTACCCATCACTTTCCTGACTCACTTCTAAGTGGGAATGTGTCCTTTGGCCTTTTATACTCTTATAGCCCTTAGGAAAGGTCAGGAGGATTTTCTCACAGAGAAAGGGAGAAGGAAACATGCAATGGCTTGCAACTGCATTTGTAGACGTACAACAAATACACAAAGGAGAAACACAAAGCTTAGGTTTATATCACTTGTGTTTCTTCCTCTAAAGTAATAATAACATCAGTAAAGCAGAATAAAGAATAAAAAAAAGCACTTGTAAGCAAAAGGAAATATGCAAACAGTTGAATTATAGAAATATTTGTCTAGTTAATGTCACTTAACTGTTTAAAAAAAAGGATTAAAAAGGATTAAAGCTTGCACCTTTACAAGGTACTGCAGAGGAAAAGCAAGCATGTTTTATATGATGCTTGTGGTGTTATTCATCACGTGAGATGAAATTCCCTTCTGAAGTGGAGAAGTAAAATTGATTTCCTCCTTCTGGTAAATAAAAGTAAAGCTATATCCTGCTAGCTCCAGGGGCGTCAGGAGAACAGTTTCACCACTCTAGCTCTATGACTATCAGTGTTCTGACAAAGTTCATGAAAGGGTAACACTGAAGCTCTCAGTTTAAAAGTACGGAAGGATTGAGTTCTTTCAAGTGCCAAGCAGACAGGAGGGGGAAACACACAAAGAAAGTTATTTTAAATGTTCCTAATTCTATTGGCTCTTTGGTTCTTTCTTCCTTGGAAAGTTTGCAGTGTATGAATTTTTAATGTGAACAAAGGCCCAAGGAAGTTCTACTGAAAAAATAAGAGACATTTACAACAATAACATTGACAGATGTTATCTTCCCAGGACAAAGAAATAAAGAAAAACCCACTTCCAGTGCAGAGATTTCTGTTGCATCTGTGACAATTCAGTGTAACACAATGCACGACAGTTCTAAATGAATTGTTTTCATCCACCACATAAGACATTTTGGAGACTACCCTCTTCTTGAGAATCATAAACTGAGTAGTTTTGTGAACATTGAATTTTTTTCAAAAACCAGTTCAACAAAAGCCCAAATTGCCATACAAAGGAGTTATGATCTCATCTGAACGGAGGCAAAGTGACTCATTAAAAGGAAGACATAATACAAGCCAGATTTCCTGCCCAGCTTCCTTTGACCTCTGTTGGCAGAGCGATTTTCCTCTTGCAGTAAAAAACGTGCCTAGAAATTGTTCTGCCCGCTATGCGAGCCATGTCAGGAGAGTACAGCTGACATGTTCCTACAGCAGGATGGGTCACATCAGGTATGCTCATCAACACACATACTCGACAGGCCTCTAATTGCAATGACTGATGGAGGGTCCTCCAACTCAGTTTCGAAATCTCACTCCAGCAGCAACCCCGCAATAAGTATTGTTTAAACCTTGCTTAATCACCTTACTAATCTTTAATATAATATATCATCACGATTAAAATATTACAGAAAATTGAATGATTGTAAGCCTGATATGCTACGCTATCGACACAACAGGACATGCTGTGAATTTACCTGACACCTCAACACTATATTTCTTCACTTCCATCGAGTTAAATAAGCTCCTTCCCATTATCCAAATATAACGCCTTGTGAGAAAACCCATACCTGAAGAGTTATTTCCTATTGAGAATCATCTTGGGCAGCCATATATCAAAACAAACATTTGGGGTTGTTCTCTAGCATTCTCCTACTGGGCACTTACATGACTACTGACGGGTTTGGGATTACTGTGTTGGAAGCTCTTTTCGTGCGACAGCTGCAGTGCAGATGCTTGTCGCTAACGCTGGTGCTGAATGCTAATCACTACTACAGACCGGGAGCAATCGCCAGCGACATCACTCCTCACCAGAATGAACAGAAAGGCCTTAACTGCCTTATGTGCTCTGTGCTTCTGCTGGAATGCCTAGAAACCACTAGGAAATACTAGGAGGGATAAAAGAACTAAAACCAAAAGGGTTAATGATAAAGGCAGTTCCACATGTCACTTAAGGAACTCATTTCTCTCCTTCATATATACAGTTTTAACGCTGCTCAAAAGAGATCTTGATTATATGTATGAAAACTGAATTGAACAGAATGAACAGGTTATGAATAAAATGCATTGAAAGATGTAATCCACGATATAGGAAGGGCACGATGCATTTCCCTTTGCTTGTATATTCAGCTGTGTCATCTGAAAATATTCTCATAGAAGAGCCTTCTATAAAAATAAGTATTTTTAGCTATTAAAAAGTCATCTGAAGTTTACACGCTGCAATGTAATTTTGATAATTCAAAATTCATAGAACAGATGCAAAGTAGGTACTTCTCTGATGCTAATTAAACAGCAGGCTCATGTAGTATTTCCTGTAAATAAAAGCACCTCTTCTTTTTCTCTATGTAATGATCATCAGGGTATATTGATAATTTAAAAAAAAGACAGAAAAAAACGACAAAACAAAAATGGGTAAGAAGACCCAGAAAATAAAAATAGCTCCGCATTTTCAAACTCTTCTAATTAAAATATACAAAATACTAAAATTAAGAGAAAGAGAGAATATGGCTGAACAGAGCGTTCATAAAATATCTCTAGGCATTGGCAAAGATTTTATCTTTGTCATTTAATGATGATGAAGCCAAATAACTGTTGCCGGAATGGAAGCAGGCTGATGAAGAAGGTTTTCAAATTGAAGTGAGGGATATCGCAATTTATATTTTTCTTAGTAGTTCTTCTATCTGTACAATTTCTCTCTAAGTTTCATCACTTTCTGTATTAGATGTCCCTCTCAGCAGAGAGTCATGTGTTGATCAAAGATATATTGCTTTAATACATTTGTGTTCTGTTGCACGTTAACTTGTTTGCTCCTACAGCCAACAAGTTCTAAGCAGTTGACAAAATATCAGAGGATCGGTAATTACTAACAATGTTGACTTCCAGGGTAAATGAGCTTGTTGCGAGGAAAAGTTTTCTGGTATTTGACCTAATTTGTGCTAGATCTGAGAGAAGCGTTCAGCTAACTTAAATAAACAATCTGTGTGTTAAAAACTGTCAGCGCATACTGCATACTTACGAACACAAAGTACATTAAGTTTAACAGTACATTAAAAAATGAATAAAGTATTTATTAAGCATGAATCAGTTCTAAAAAGCATGGTACGAAGTAACGTTAACAATTTTCACAGGGAAAGCAAAAAGATACACAGTATGATGATTTGTGGACATAATGAACTGGACACACTTTTTTCCAGAAAAAATAAACAAGTTCAGTTAAAATACTGCTAAAAGCAGAGTTTATATATTTAAAAATTAGATATGAATTAAACTTCCTTAGATGTGTTTAGTATGCTTTTAGAAACTTAAATTTTACTTAATTCTTCATCTATAAATTTTCATTCCAAATCTATTTTTTTATCACGTACACTATTGAAATAATGCCTCTATGTTATTGTCCACAAACATATTTCAAAATTCTTTAAGTAAATAAACAGAGAAAGAAGTCTGCCATTCCTAGCGTGATATCCAGCTATTTAAGCATGGGTTTAGGAGTAATTCCATTATAATTTATAAATGATCCAGGAAATAAATACGTGTGTGCATATATACATAAACATACATATAGCAAGAGTTACTCTGTCTAAAAATACACCAGCATGTATCCTTGCTATTTATTATTCCAATGAAATTAAAAGAAGACTATTTTACATGATACTTGGCTTTCATCAGAGATTTAAGAAAGACAAGAAAACAAATTAAAAGAAGAAAAATGGTTTCCATTCAATTTACCAATTTCTAACACGAGTTAGATATCTATGGTTATGGGTGTTTATATGTGAATGAACGAATAAATCCTTAACCCACCATATCTTTTTCTCCAGTTTGCAAGCTGTCACCCGTGAAAAGTATGGTGTAGATGGTAGGATGATACTGTACCTGATTGGCTCTGGAGGTGGTCATGGGATCAGATGGAGAGGACTTGGTGGTAGTTGGGGAAGATGGCAATGTCTGGGAACAAAGCAGTTCAGGAGCAAATCAACCTTTACAAGCCTTAGACTGAACAGTTAAAAAAATAAATAAACCAACAAAAGTAACGTAACTAGAAAATTAAAATAAATAAAAAATGCCTAAGACAAAATCTTTCTTCTACTCATTGGAACTTAATGGAATTTAAAGTCAATTGGATAAATAATGCATGTAAATATGCATGCTTATGCATGTAAAAACAAATTAATGACTTGAAATCAAGATGGTGAACTCACATAAATACTCAAAAATATGCTGACCACTTGAGGAATAGTTTCTTTCCTCTCTCCTCCTCTTGGGGAAAATGAAGACTACAGTAAATGAAAAATTCCAGCAAGTTCAATGAGCACGCTAGAAACAGTTTTCAGTCTACAAACAAACAGGGCCAACGTCTGGAAGAAGTTAAGAGACATTTACTTTGGCACCTCATAATGCACCATTCTGTAGCACGGACTATGGCCAGCAAACTGTGATCCATAGCTTAACACACAATTACACTGAGGCTACTGAGCTTTTAGCAACATACTAACTGCTAAAATATTAATTGAACTTTTTTAATCAAGAGGCAGGTGAAAAAATGTAAACATCAATCTTGTGATGGATGAACATGCAACTAATACCTTCACAACAAATTGCTACAATACATTAACGATTAACGTTAAAAAGGTTCATTTAGTTGAACATAGGTTAATAACTTATCATCGGGCCTGTGTTCAAAATAAACACAAAAAAGAATTAAGAGTCATATTTATTGATCATGTTTTCTAAATAATATACATATGCTTAACATTAATTTTTGAACATATCGAAAAAGCACTGCTCTGTTTAAAATTTTTATATACACATTTCTCTTCTTAAAGTATTAGATCCTGACAGAATAACTCTTCTTTTTATAAATGTAGTGAAAAATGTAAAATTCCAATTTTCAAAACATAACATACAATACTTATTCAAAGCATGTTTTTTGACATCTTTGTAGTATATAAATAGTATAAAATATCCAAAACGACACTACTTTTTCTTTAAGAAATAAGATATTAAAACGCTATACAATGTGACTTATCACACGGCCATATAACCACTAACCGAAACTATAAAGAAATGAAGCAAAATTTCACACTTTCAGCAGTTCTGTTACTTACAATCATTGACAGTCCCTCATAAAATAGGTATACATACTTTTGCACTAAAACTCTTAATGCATATGAGAAAGCTGGGACACTGTGAATGCATAAAGTTGCGTATTAGCAAAATATGGGCTTGTACATATGCACACACAAATATTTTAGTTGCAAGTTAAGCAATATGAAGATCCATTTTTTTCATAGTTTGTACATAAACAAGCAGCCAAAACAGGAAAAAATATCTTATGAAACAGATCCTTATTTTGTGTTTCCAACTTGTAACTCATGCTATAAAACAATAAAAATAAAACATAATACAGCTTAAGCATCAACCGGGACTCATTAAAAAAAAAAGAGGCTTATAGTAAAACAATACTACCATGTATAGGGCATTATAAAAAATATGCAGCTCGACAAAATGCTATTGGTCAGCAGACATTCTACATTGTGAAAATCAAGACAATTACAGAGGATTCTCCCACATCCTTCTGTACGGAACAAAGGTTCATTCGTTAGGGGCTACAATTATGCAAAAAAAAAAGATCAGATTCCAAGACAGGGCTATCCCTATTCAGTTATACAATTATAATTCTGATTTTAGTGGGATGATGATGTCGTATCTCTATTAGCAAAGTCTGAAATTGCACTGAACTGATTTTCACCATTTAAGCTTAAACTAATGGGAAAAACCAAACCCAAATCTAAACCAAACAGAACAGAGAACTATAACTTATCCCAATGTGTTTTCTTTATCACAGCGGTACGCTAAACTCTGATCTTCAACTAAAAAAAAAAATAATTTAAAAATTGTTACTATTCTCCAGAAAAACTCTAAATATATATTTTGACTAAAATATTTTGGTATGCTAGGCTAATTAATAAAAGGAAAAACAGTTTGCTCTTCACTGGTGTTACTAAATCTAAGTAGTGGATTTGTAAGAAAATACGTAGAACATTTCAACATTGAATAATGACCTAATCACTAATTTAAAAAACTGGAAGCATCTGAGTTTTCAATTCATATCAATCTTCCTAAAGCAGAGAAATGTATGGCTGTGATGAAAAAGGAGTGATGATAATAATTTTAGGTGGCTCTTGAACTATAACATCTATTAAGCAGAAGCATTTTGCTATTTCATTTTAGCAAAACCTTGTTTAAAATACAATGGAAAAAAGATAAAAGCATTTTAAAGCAAAACAATTGTATTAATGAACAAGAATCAATTATGGGCATACATGTATTTTTTCCAAATATACATACCAATGACAAAATATCAAAAATAGCAATAAACATTTTTCGTTGTATGTTCTTATTGGTTTTTAATTTGTATAACAGGTTGTTTGTACTTGAGGATTACTCTCTCTTATTTTGTTTACTGACATAACTAATTTTTTTTCCTTATACATCTATACATCACATATATATATCTAGAAGAACTGACAACATTTTGTAAAAATTCATCCCTTTTCATGCTTCTGTATAACTATGGAAACACATTAGTTTATGGAGCCAAATCTATCTATTACTTCAATATTAAAGCAACACAAACTAATTTCTCAAAAAAAATCCTAAAAAACCACAGGCATTTGAATTTCCATTGGCTGATAAGTAATTTAATGATACACTCTCAAGTGCTTTGCAAGAACTTCTGTGCAAAATTACTACTTATAGAAAGTTGGACAGAGCTCAATAATTTTGATTTATTACACAGCATAGAATAGTTTTTTTAAAAATTTGGCAAGTGTTTTGCATTAGGTAAGCACTTAAATTTAGTGATTATTAGGCTTTTGGGAATGAGATGCATAAAGTGATTAGAAATTATAAGATGAATTTACATGACAGTTTCAATTTTTGCAACTGAAATGTGTTTACTATAATTGAAGCTTTCCTGGAATTGCTGTTTGACTGCTGCAAGGTTATAGAAAAAAGCAAGTCAGAATTTTTACCACACACCACTTTGAAGGCTTGTGGATTTTTTATCTTGAACAGTATAGTCCAAGCCATGATGAAACTGGTCCTCTGTTTTCTCAATCACTAGTTTCTTTCCTATTACTTAAGAGAGAATGAATGCAAGACAATATTTACAGCTAGAAGAGTATTATTTGTTTCTTCCTTTAAAATTCTAAACAACAAAAACCAGATTTTAAGTAATTACAGAAGAGCTTTATTTTAGAAATAAACTTCTGTTTGAGCCATATTTGAGTTGCAGTATATTTTGAAAATCCAAGAAAAAGACTTCTTGTATTGCTTACAAGAATTGATTCTACTCTGAGAGACTGCTCTCAAGCTGCACGACATATTAAAGGGTGTGGAAAGATGGTCAAAGCATCACACTTCTGTGCTTCCTATTTTTGAATAACAGAGTGAAGATACAGCTGTATCATGGCAGTATAGAATACCTATACTCCATCTGCACAGGGTTCCAAAAGGTCTCAGCCCTCTTTCAATGACTTAACAAATCGCTTAATGCAGACCTATGTATAAATGACAAAAGTCACACCCTTATATATAAACACTAAAAAAATTTCAGTACTTACACCCTAGATAATAAATATTATATTGAGATAATTTAATTCTCAGTACCTGTTACTGTATTTATATATAGAAGGGTAGAAAAAAAAGGCAGAAAATTAAATACCTTCGGAAAACAAGAGTTAGAGTCATGAAAGCATGTGAAGAACTTCATTTAAATGTGAAGATGAAACTGCATTTACAGCTTACCAATTTCCAATTTCTCACTACAGGGCTTGCCAAAGAAAGGAAATCTTGGTAATAACATTAATCACACTAAATTACTATCAATACTAAGCTAATACTGAGTTTCAGTCTTGCATATATTAATATTGGTGGTTTTAAATCACCAAAAATTAATGTGATGACAAAACTATCTTGCTTAAGCCAGTATTTTAATGCACTTTAAGAAAAGGTGGGTTGTATTTTTTTTGTATTATATTAAACAACTGGATACCCTCTGCAGCTAAAATGAAAAACGAAGAGCACTGCAAGGCCTCACTGTGCTGAACAACATAAAAGACTGACTTACTAGACTTTCAACAGTATCAGGGATGAGCCTTTCTAAACAGACCACTTGGTTTGCTAAACACACTGAGTCTTTTCATCATCTGTGAACGCCTTTAATCTGTAACTTCGGCAAATGATTCTCATCTGAGTGATGACTGCATAAATACATAATTGAAAAATAAAATTTAGAAGAAAGAAATAATCATGGATTAATAATTTATATACAATTCAGATTGTAAAAAGGCTACTTTGATGACTGCAGTGACCTAATTTTACTTGCTACCTTTTCACTTCTGTAAAGGGCAAAAAATAATACATTCTGATGACATTTCATCTGCTTTGCATTTGGGTTTGCTTGCATGTAGAAGAATATACAGGGCACAGGGCAATATAAAAGGACTAAGAAAGCTAGCATATATAGATGAAATGCTTACAGGTGTTTATAGAGGTAGTTCTTTGGCATTTATGAACTCTTTGGAACTTGTCTTTGAAAAGGAAAAAAGTGTGGAAGGGTGATGTAAAAGAAAGATTATCTTGTGTTCCGCCTGGAGACAAGAAGGTATAAGGAGTATAAAGCAAACCAGCAGGTGCCATTTGGATCATGAGAGCAACTCCAGATGGAGGGAATGATTTAGGATGAAGAGTACAGTAAAAAATGGACAAAGAAGAATCTGAACTTTCTCTTTCCTCAAAACTTGCCACACCAACACAGAATTACTACAAGATAGCAGTTTTCCTACAGAAAGACCAGAAAACTCAAGTAGGAAACCAAAACCAGGCACCAGAACATATATGAGTCTAAAATTCCTGTCAAAAAAACTCCCAAGTACCAGAAG